ATCAAGAAAAGATATAGCACTTGTATTAGTGGACATCATACAGTCGAAGAATTAAGTGATGAAAGTGCAAAAATGTGTATTGCAATATCTAGAAGCAACGAAATATATAGAAGGCCATAAAACAATGCTGCGAAAAAGAAAACGTGAAAAAAGACGTCTTTATTTTTCTTTGAAAAACACTCTTGCCTCTTCTGGTCAGAGCTGAGAAACAATGTAAAATGTAAGAAACTGTACATACATTTTCTTACATCTTAAAATTTTCGACGTTTTATGTGATCGACATTTTTTTCTTCGATTAAAAATGCTTCGGCATTTATTTTTCGATATTTTTTCTTTCGACGTTTTCATATCCATTCATCGAATTATATCTCTGATCGAGATATAGAAAAAAATTTTACTGTAAACATGATTGGGACATGTTTCCACTTAGACATGAGCGGGACTGGGACTAAAAAGCTTTTTGACCGGGACCGAGACAGGACAGAAATTTTTTTCCAGGATCGGGACCGGGACTGAAAAGCCTTGGTACCTCCCTTTTGTAGTCTCGACACTGTATTTTTACTATATCATATTATGTATAACATAATGATGACCAATTTTTTTTTTTCAAGTTCAACCAGTTCCCACTGAATTTTGGGATTGTTTTGCGAATTTTTTTCTGTACTAACAACAAATATTGAGAAGATCAGGTATTCATTTTTCGATAGTGCACCAACAGCTCTTTCAAAGATATAGAATATCTTCTCGACCCGGGTATCTGTTGCCGTAGCAAAAATTACGTAGAAAAATAAAAATGTTTGTTCACTTTTTTGTGATAGGAAGAAAGATAAATCGTTTTCGTATAAAACTTTATATCAATGATTTTTTCTGAGCTATAAATGGTTTCCTCATAATGTTTTTTTCTGAAGACAGCAGCTGGAAGGGAAAAAATTGCGCTATTTTTCCAAATATGACTTTTAGAAAAAATGACATTCAACGAGTGGAAAATAGCAATGAAAGTGTCTAAGTATATGCAATCAGTAGACATTTTTAAGGACTATCTATTCGTGAGTCGTATTTTATGAGCCCGATATGTGTGGGGATTCTACACACGAACAATTCCAAAATTCAGTGGGAACTGTTTGACCTCTAGAAATTTAGAATTTCATTACTGCAAAATATAGTCAACATCAATTTTGCAGAGAATTTAAGTGTGCATCTTTTGAAAACAGATTGAAGTTTTCTCAAACTTTCTATGCGAAAATAAAGTCCCTCCGCCACTACTTTTGGACTGCCCTAAGTATTATGATGCCAGTTTTGTGTCGAACTTTAAACGTAGATCGTCTATACAGGTTTAGTTAGTTTTAGCTACTATAGATCTTCTTTCATGTTTATTCGTATTTCTTTTGATAATATTATACATCTCCATGGTTGATGATAATTGCAAATAACGGTTAGTTTATTGGAAATTGTATATAGAGAAGTATAGTACAGTACATATGTACATCGAAGAATGCACAGAAACCTATCACAGCCCAAGTAGGTCTCATCTGAGCCAAACTTTCAGGGAATGTTGACCATGTCAAAGTGTGGTAACGAATCTTTTTTTGGTGTCATTTGCAACTGTTCGTGAGAGGGCGCCACAACAAGGGTCAAAAATAGGCATCTGCCATTCACAAGAATTCTCACTCCAGGTGAATGATAGAAAACTCTGTCTGTTTTGTTTTGCACTAAACACCTATGCCTAGGAGTTGACAGAGCCCGATTTTTGTATTTCTCATTTACTGATTTCTGGTGCTTAATATAACTTTAAAATCCGAAAAATCCTTGGAAGGTTTCTTAGAAATCCTCATTTCTATAAAAAATGAAAGCATAATTTAAAAATCGGACTCTGTCAACTCCTACCTATAGGTGTTATCTACACATCGAAAAAAAGAAAAACTTCCTCCGATGTATCTTACCGAGAATTCCTGTGAATGGCGAAAGCCCTGAAGCTAAAAAACAGTCTTAAGAAAAACGCAAAATAAGTTCTGATTCTGTGAAACGCGTTTTACTTAAAAACTGTTTGAGCGTAAAATAATTTGTCGATATTTTGCTATAGGTTATCGGTCATGACGGATCTAATGAACATGTGCGCAGTCATGTGCGGCACATGCATGCACTTATGCAATAAAAGTGCAAAAAAACCAAATTTTTTTGCTATGGGGCTTCTGGAAAGCTCGCTCAAAAGCTATGAAAAACCTGTCCTATCGACACAAAAATTATGTCATTAGAAAGTAGACACTTTGGGCTATCCAACCATTTGCTTTTCTCAAAATCAATATTATTGCCGAAAATCGGCATTTCTGATCCGGGGGACCTTAAATGATTTTTAACATATTAAATCCTAAATGTTGATAAAACATGTTTTGAGATAAGAAAAGTATAGTTTTTGATATGAATTTCCGGTATCGAGTTCAATAAATTTTACTAAAACACAAATCTATGAACTACATTAGTACACAGAAAGTAATTGCATTTTACATATTTACACAGTAAAGACTATCTTATACTATTGTATTGCATGAAATCAAGAAATTCACTACAGTGATTAGAATAAGGTATATCTAAATTAATTATATATGATTTTTGTTAATCAGTATTTGGATGAGCTGCCAGATTTTCTCATGTTCTTTAATAAATAAACAGTGTGAGTTAGAGAGAGAGAGAGAGCAATGTTTACATCTGGAATACGTAGTGGTTCTTATTTGAAGAGCATCTTTGTTCAGGCTGTAATGGTCCCTAACTAATTTTTTAGTATCGTTTAAGCAAAACATAATTGTGACCTACGTTATGCAACAATCGATAGCCAAGACTTTAATGCAGGAATCTTTGGAAAATCTATTTGGATCACCAAAATTTGAATTGGTAATATATGTGCTTCTTCACATGAAAATTTTCAAGATATACTCGATTTTGTCTACTGGATTTGGCTTTGCAGTTAAGATTATAAAAAAAGCCGTTTCTTTAAAAAAAACATGCAAAAAGAAAAGCATATAGCCCTTTACAGAGTATCACGTGTCAACCACGTTACATGAAGAAAATGGATGACTAACATTTATTAGAAAAATACTTTGAGCTACCTATGAAGAGGAACATATAGTATCAATTCAAATTTTGATGATCCAAATAGATTTTTCCAACGATTCCTTCAAAATACTACTGTAAAAGTATCTTTTAAGCTTATTTTTGTATGAAAAGATGCATCAAAGTCTTGGCTATCGATTGCTGCATAACGCAGATCACTCTTATATTTTGTTCAAACGATACTAAAAGATGAGTCATGAACCATTGTAGTTTAAAATGGATAAAGTGTAAGCACAACGATAACAAAGAAATTAATCGATCACACAAGTCAAATATGTGACGATATTCTACTTAGTTCAAACAAAAGTAAAAATCTTTTATTTGTTTTTTACTTGTTAACAAATAAAAAATAATAATTAAACTTCATTTTTATACACTTTAACAGAACTATGCCTAAGAAAAACTAATATCTATAATCTTTCAAGGTTCCGTGTTGAAAAAAAATTGCCCAAAATCGGATAATTCCACTTTTTCTTTTCAAATTAAAAGAGTCATAAGATATTAAAAGGTTGATTCTTTCTAAAAATTCTTCTTCGTTTCGCAACCATGTCAATAATCTGATCAAAAACAAGATAATCTATTATTTACGTGCTTTATATAGATCCCAAAGAGCTGAAACCAGTTCGCCTGTAATTACCTCATTTGAATTCTTATTTATGATGTATAATAATAAAATACCATCTCTTCCCAAATATTTCATGGTAAAATTGGTGAAAAATGTTTCATCATCATTGATCAATGTGATCGCTGATGATGGATCTTGTTCATCATTCGATGTTGTTTTTGTTTTTAAATGAGATGATAATTTCATTTTCCATATTCGTTCTAAATCATTGTTTGATGTCAAAATTTTTGAAAAATGATTATTATTATGATTAGTTAAATTTTCTCCATTTGTATACATATGAACATGATGTAAATTTATACGTTTCATTGATCTTAAATATTTTAATAGATGATTTTCATACAATTTTGGATAAAACAATGAACATATCCAATAAAGAAAACCAAATAATGTACAGAATGTTGTAAAATATAGCCAAAACCAAACTGCTAAAAATATTTTTTCATTAAATAAATTAATTGGTAATGAACATTGAACAGTATATTCATGAATATTATCGGCCATATTTCTTACAGCAAAATTACACCATGTTATTCTAGGAAATCGTGGTGTTACCGTCCAATTTTCATTATTACCAATAAATAAATTTTTTAATACTCGAAAACCGTACATATGATAATCATTGCCAAGAAAAAAATTTAACAAATATAATTGACCAAATGCATTACATAAATATAAAATTTTTGAAAATAAAAAACTTATTAATAAATGATTATTTAAAAGTAGAAATGTTATTAGAGTAATTAAATTTTTTAATTTTAAATTTTTAAATCTTTCAATATATTCAAGATGTTTTTGTTTATGATATTCTAATGTACGATCAATATATTTTGCTAAATAACGAATAGATTTTTCACGATTATCCGATGTAAATGTATCAATGTGACGAGATTGCATTACTAACATGCCAATATCATAACCACTTTGACTATTTAATGATGACCAAACAAGTGATGGAAAATAAAATAATAGAGCTTGACCCATAAGAATAAATGGAACATATTGATAAAAATAAATATAATGTTCAGTTTCCGGTTGAGGATATTTTGGTAATACACGTTCAAATGGAACAAAATATGTATTTGAAATCCAGCAGACATTATTTGCATATTCAACATGAGTACCAGTAAAATGAGCGGGACAAAAACATGCAATTGGCTCACCGACATACTGTTTTGTTGAAACTAATATGGTAAATATGATTAGAAGAATAACGGAATAACGTCGAGATAGTCTATCATAAAAATCGTCATCACAAGTGACATCATGACTTTGAGTTACTTTAGCGGCTGCATCAAATAATAAATACGTCATACTAATATAGAAATAAAAGGAAGAGATCAATAATTACAATAAAGTATTACAAAACAAGAGTTTGATATATCAATTCTTGCCACACTCAACGGTCTAATGTAGTTCAATACTCGAAAACTTTCGAAGTGTACGTGTCAGTAATAAAATGATATTTTCTCTTTTTTTTCAAACTCAAACTAGTATCTTCCACTATCAAATATCTACTTCTGAGATAGACAACAATTAGAATATTGTATTTTTGTAGTAATCTCTAATCAATATTAGCCTTCTATGCTCTTAACGTAAATCTTAACATAATAAACTATTATTATGTTGTACTCTACATTTCTCCCGAGATGATAGATAGCGTTAATCATATTAAAAAATTACTGGTAATCAATACATTAATTCGAGTTTGTCGAGTTATATATGGTAGAATCTTTTTTATCACCGAACTTGTAGTTTTTGAGAAAATTTTTTAAAATCTTTCCTCAATTTTTGTCCTGTTTTAAAATTTCTACTTATAACCTCAATTTTGATATCAATCGATGGAGAACATCAAGATGTGTCTAAAAAGAAGTTTTACCATTTTCAATCAAGTTTTGAATGAGTTATTCCACTTTGATCTGCACCATAGAATTCTGAAGCAAGAAGTATTTTTAAAAGCAACTTGAACCAAATTTTGCTCGCAGGAAGCATTTTCAAGGAAAAGTGTGGATACGAATGTTGGTCAAAATCAGATTCCCTGAAATATGAACGACCGAGTATTCAAAATTCGTTAAACTTGATTTTTCCATTGAAAAATACATTTTTGAAATTTTAAAAATTTCGTAAAATTTAAGGCTGTACCCCGCGTCAAAAACGTGTCTCGGTAACTAAAAGTCTAAGCAGAACCAAACTTTCAGGGAATGTTCATCTTATGACTGTACTCTTTTCATAAAAATTTTGGCGAATTCATCTGTTAGTGCTTCAAAGATGTCGCTCAGTTAGGGATCAAAATGGGATTGTTCGTAGTTCCAAGAATTTGAAAATCTAGTTTAACAAAATTTTGAATACTCCTTCGTTCGTATTCCAGGGAATCTGATTCTGAACAACTTTTATATCCACACTTTTTCTTGAAAATGCTTCATTCAAGCGAAATTTGGTTCAGGGTTCTGGACGATTTTGTGCTCCGGGACTCTCAAAAACTGACCATGAAAATCTTTATTCTTTTCGATTTTTGACACTTCTGTTCGATTCGGTATGTGATAGTGTCTATGTTCTATGAGTTTCAGTTCAGTTATGAACACTTTCTTCTGGTTCAGAAGAAAAGAGAAAGTATCATCAAAATTTGAGCGCCTTTTCCTTGCTGTGCAACAGTATTTTCAAGTTTACAGATCGATCTTAAGAAATTTAGGGACAACAAAGTATTATCCCATAGAAAAAACCATGATAAACAACTTCTACACTGACATTTGCACTCCAAAATGCTTCCCCGCAGAGAAACTGCAGGCAAGATCTTGATAAAACACACTTTTGTGCTCCAACATCCATTCTCAATGTCAAATCCGATTTTCTCCGCGAAACGTTGTCCCTGAACGATGACAATCTTTTCACATACACATCTCGAGATGCTCTATCGGCTGGTTACAAAGCTAAGGTTTCAAACTGAAAAGTAAAAATTTTATTTAAATTTTAAAAAATGGGCAAAAAATTAAATTTTTTTCTGAAAAACTACGTCCGCACTAATTAAGTCCGTTCATCTACAAACTCTTTTTATATATATGTCGCAGTAGAAATTAAATTCTACTAGTTGAAATTAAAATTTCATTTTCTAGTAGGAGAAATTAAAATAAGCGGCGATTGAGTTTAAGTTGCACTTTTTTTGTGTTTTTCATCTGTTACCGTCAAAAACTAAAAGCTATTATATTTCACTTATTTCTCGTCCAAAAAGACGCAAATTTTTAGGGAATGATTATTCGAGATCATAGAATCGAAAAGATCGGATCTGAACTTTATTTCCGTGGGAGGTTTTCCAGAGATTCACTAAAAAATGGCATCCATAAACCGAAAAATCCTATGTAATTTTTTCGACTCGATCTACTTTCTATGACCTACTCTGAGAATTTCCTGAAAATTTGGGTCCTCTTGCACGAGAAATGAGTGAAATATACGGCTTTTAGTTCTTGACGGTAACAGGCGAAAAACCGGGTTTTCACTAAATTGGCTTTTCTGAAGTTATGGTTGAGCGGGGAACGAAACAAGCATCACCAAGATGACCAGCATGACCGATTAGCTATGATCCACATGTTTCTGAGATTTCCAGACGTGTCTGGAACGCGATAGATGTGTCCTTGGAAAACGCCTGTATCTCTGGAACCAGAGCAGATGGAGATCTGGACCTTGCGTAGTTTTGAAGACAAATGTTTTGACTATCGACTGATATTATTTGAGATTGGATTTCATAGTGTGGTTTGGGAACGGTAAGCTTTCTGATTTTGCCTCGAATTATAAACCTGATCGGGAGTCCTGATTTTTTCAAAGGTTTACGTCCCAAAGTGTCTAGTTTCAGAATCTGAAAACCGCAGGTCTCTATTGCCTTTCATTCAAAAGTTATTCAAAAAAACATCGGAATGCATTATATTACGATACGGATATTTGTAGAATTTTAATTTCTACTGCGACATATATTCTGAAGTGTCCTCTACAATCTGGGAAAGTTTGAACTAAATCTAAATGTATACCGAAAATGTTAAAAAGAAAAATATTAAAAATGAATTAAATATTTTTCCACCTTATTTAAATATTTTTCTATCTGAACTAGTAAACATTTTTCTTGTTGTAAGATAGAAAAATATTAAATTGTTTTATTAAGATGAGAAATATTTAAATAAGATGCACAAAGTCATATTCATACCTTCTTGGTAGATTCAAATTGCGACATCAGGTTGCCTTCATTCAGAATGAGATAAACGGGATAGAAAAATATTAAATTTTTTCGCATACGATAGAAAAATATTTAATTATTTTAAAATAAAGGAAAAATATTGAACGGACTAATATTTAAATAAAGTGGAAAAATATTTAGTCGTTTAATATTTTTCTTTTTCTTTTTAACATTAGTCTATTGACCCAAATCGGTGACCGTCCCTCTCTTCTCTTAAATTAAATCGTGGAAATGGTTCTATTGTCTGTTTTCGATAATGGCGTCTCCATACTGACAATATTGTCTCCGATGTTAGATTATTCTGTCTCTTTTTTATTTCATCTTTTAACGTGTGTTGTACGAAGAAAAAAACTGAACCCTTGCTTAGCAGCCTAGTCTTCTGAATAAAACTAGGATCACGGCTCAGTTCTGCTCACATTTCAGTTAGTTTTCTAGATTACAATCTTCAGCATCCAATTCGTAACATTTTATAGCGTTTATTATTTTCCTTTTACACTGCAAACATCTTTAGATATCCTTGTTCATACTTACTTTTCCAACGCTTCCAATATCCACCAGTAAAACATCTTTATGGCAATAATAATTGTTGTTATAGAATTTATTATTTAATAATTTCTTGTCAACTATTAACGAGTGGCGGTAGTTGCTTAAAAATTAAATAATACAAGTTTTTTTTAACTTGTATTTTTCATAACATGATTTCTAATATTTATATTAAAGTTTGTTGTTATACACGCATCATAACTTTCTCCTCCTTTTTGCTTTGTCTCTCTTCTATTTGACTTTATTTCAATTAGAACTTGTATAACACTTGTTCACTGAAATACTCAACAGTTTGTGTAATAGCATCATTAAAATAAATTTTTTTTTTGTAATCGAACCAAAATTTCGTTAGTTTGTTCGCTCATAAAATATTCACTTGCATGTTAATTTTATCTAAAAGTGTAAATCCTGCACTTATTCCCGATATGTATCTATATATGTATATATACACAAAACACATTATAATGACAAAAGAGAGAGAGAGAAAAATGACGAAAGTTTTTCTTACCGGGAATCAGAGAAAAAGAAAAAAAAGAAAACAATATTATTTTACACTTTTTTTTAGAATGAAGACAATCACTATCATCATTCAACATCTATCTATACTTCCTTTTTAAATTCGAAGATGGAGCTGTTATAATCGTCTCTGTATTCTTTTAATTCTTCTTTCCAACATACTACAAAACCACAAATGTTGTTTTTTCCGATACGTCTTTTTCTTAAGATTTTATTCGCACTGGACATAAAGTACTATTACCTGCAGTATTAATGTTCTGTTTGTATTTACAATAAATTATATTTCTTTTTCTTTCCTTCTATTCATGAAACTGACCCACTATATAAAAAGATTATTTTAAAAGAAGTTAAACAGACAATAGTTGTTCCTCAGTTTTAATTTCCCAGTAGAGAAAACTATCACTGAATTAAATTAGATGCTAAAATGTCTAAGTTTTAACATTGTAAAGAGTTTAATTCAATTACTTAAGGTGATATTTGCAAATAATTCTTATTCATAATTATATCTATTCTCTAACGATTGATCTATCAATGTCGGAATAAAAATAATATTTTCTATATGAAACGAAGAATCACTAAAGAAATAGATCAGCTCAACTATAACTATCATGAAAGAGAAAATGATAAATAATGAATGATGATGATGCCCTTTTTTTCTCTTCTTCTGATGTGATTGGAGGAAACAAAAAATAATTTCATGTAATATAAGCAGATAAGAAAGAGCATAATGAGTTTATAACTGGCCGGAAGAGAATATAGTGGTTTTGAACATACTAGTTGTCGTCATTTTGAAAGAGAAAAAGACAGAGAAAAAAATACAATGTTGATTTGATTATATAATATGTGTTTAATTCAGTTAGGATAAGAAAAATTTTTGCCTTACACATCATTAATGATAAAGTTCAAATTGTACAGATGATTTATGCAAAAAATGTTGCTTTTCTTCTAGAAAAATTTCACTTTAGTATCTCAATATGTATTTAGAAAATGATCGAGGTCATAGGATTAAATGTGAGTATAACAACAAATTTCATTA